AATAATATCAACAAGATTTAAAATTGAGTAACTTATTAGTAATCCAACTAATAACGATTTATTTGACTTTAAAATTAAATAAAAAATTTATATAAGGAGACAACCATCCCATTTACAACATTTATTTCTAAAATTAAATGGTCAGCAAAAAAAATTAAGAATTTTGAGATTTTTTTATTACAGACTTCCCCCATCATAAAATTCTGTCCACGTCATTGATTTTTACGTAACAGTATTATGATTGCTCATAGTATATTTTAATATTAACATAAAAGTTTTACATTTTGCCATTAAATTCGTCCAACTCAAATTAATTTTGACCGCGCGAGTGGAGTAACTTTTTGTCCCATATGAAAATCAATGAATATTTTTGTGAAATATGTAACAAACTGTTTTATTTCACCAAAGAACACTATAACTGAACTTTTATATATTTTATTACAAAATTATAAAATATATAACTTAAATTTAATTATTATATTACTTATAATCAAATAATAATTAAGTTAAAAAAACAATAAGGACATCTTTCTATTAAGCTATCGCGACAAATAGACCTTGCACAGTTCACACAATTTTAGGTAGTTTTAGATTGTCTTTGTTTCCATCACAACAATCATATTTTCCCAAACCTTTTACTCATTGGCTTGTACCAACGGATTCATGGGATATTATAGCATATTGTGATAGTCTAAACCGATGATATTTAACTGTGTATCAATTGTAAAGCTATAATTTAACTGTTGTATCATCAATTGCCTGGATAGATTTTTTTTTTTTAATTAAGGCGTGGAATTTTAGTTTTTGTATGTTTTTCAAAAATAATTGCTAGTTAAGATTACAAATGTTAAACATTGAATAAAAAATAGTCCATAAAACATAAATAGATAGATTTTTAGTGGAACATTATTTATATTGGTTTTTTGTCAATAGTTCTACCACGCTTTGGTGTAGTTATAAAAAGTCATTATTTATGGTTATTTTACTTATTTTTTCTTCCATCAATAATTGAGCTATTATGCATAATATACAATAGCAAAACAACTTTAATTTTTTAGGAGTTTATGAAACGATTGTATCTTTATCTTCACTAAAACCAAAGTAACATGACATTATGCCCGGTGTTTATAATTGGTTCTACTAATCATTTAATAATACTAGATGTGAAGATATAAATTTTGAGTGGACTATCGACATGAATTTCTAAATTACTCGTATATTAATTTAAAACGTCGCATACACCAGCATTTTAATAACATATTTAGATGGCCTATTTATAATATACAGTTTGAAATTAAAACGTTTTCGAAAAGCTCATAGTTTTTTAACAACTGTTATAAATTCAGATACTGAATATGCATTTTCGCAATGAATAAATAAAATGTTCAAAATCTAACTTGTGTTATTCTATCCCAATTAGTTCTTTCATTTCTACAGCAAATATTTTCAAAGCGAATAAAACGAATACCATTCTCTTTATAACTTGACGTTTATCAGGAAAATTGCTATAACCTTAAGTTAGAGTTAAACATATCACAATTATTATTAGATTTATAAAAACCATAATAACAGTTAAAGTTTTGTAAATTAAATTTGAAGTAACATATATGTGAAACATTTTGTTCACAAATTCATAGTTTGTAAAATAAATTTCATAAATAACATTAATATATTGTTGTTATATTTTTTGATGAAAAAGTTATATTATATTCAGTTTTAACATAATAAAGATATTAATTATAATAAATGCAAAAATTAAAAACAACCTCTTAGGTGCAATTGTTAGCCATCTTGCGGAATGTGTTTAAATTGATCATGACCAAACTTTATAGGTTTTTTTTTTATATTCGAACAATATGAAGGAGTATGACTTTTAACTTTTTCAAATTAAATAAGGACCACTTCATTACCTATGAAGAACCGATTAATATTTTTATTTCACGAATATTGGTAAACCATATGCTTATTATTGCGAGTCTATATTTGATCAGACTGAATAATACTATCAAAGAAATTTTCAAACAAATCAGATACCTTATTTATAATCATTCGTGTTATTTTAAATATGGTCAAAGCTCAAACTTGGCAAAAAATATACATCACAAAATACTACAAAACTATCTCACGGCAACATGCATACGGTAATAATAGACAAATATAGATTACAACGAAAATAATTGTTCATAGCGGTAACACTAATGAAAAATAAAAATAACGGAATCACCTAATAATTGTTGACAAACGTTGTATTTAAAAATGTCATAGAATAATTAAATCATATATTTTATGATAACGATTTAATTGCGATAATTAACTAGATATAAGGCCATTCTTAATTCCAAACATTTTTATACTAATAGTTTATCAGTAAAGTTAAATAGTTATCTTTATATTTTTGCTATGCATCTGTTAAAAAAATACATAAAATCAATACTTCATCAATTATTTAGTAAATTCTGTATTCCAATGGAATGTGGAAATTGAATGATTTTTTTATGTATGACTACTGAAAGTAAAGGTTTTATTTTAGTAAAAATGAATTAAAAAAAAATTGTTTGGAAAAAAAATAAGTCGTGGTGAAATAAATTAATGATTTTCTCTCTTTTTATGTAATTTGATCGCATCGCATTACCCACAACAAATTCTATTATTTATTACATAAAATGATGATTTGAAATAGTTGTTAAAGCACAAAGAAAAAGTTAAAATCGTATTATCTAACAAAATACTTAATACTCGGGAGGATAGTGTGCAATTTAAAGAGGAAAAAGTTTTTACAAGTTTTATCTTTTACCTTTACTAGAAGTCTATGCTAAACCTTTATTCAATGTCATATTATTATTTAAAATGCAATATTTCCATGAAATTTCAACTTAGTTAAGATTATTTGTCTTTGATGTAAATATAAAGTTATTTTATATTTAAAATTGTTTTAATAAATCTAAGTTATGTTACTTTGTAATTTAATAAGTTTTTATATAAATATATAAATTTTAAATAAAAATTTTGATACTAAAAACTCTTATTTAATTTAGTAGTTACGTTTATACAGCATTTTGAAGTTTGTTAAATTTATTGGATTTTAACAATCTAAAACGTGTTAAGTTTTTAATTGTATAGGTTCATGTTTTATGCATCTGCACATGAATAATAATAAATAAACGTATTTATTATCAAATCTCCTAACAAGCAATATCCTATTTAAATATCAGAAATAATAATCGAAAATAAAGATTATTGGAAAATGTTAGAAACATTTTCGTATATTAGCTACAAGTGTTCAATGACTGGTCAAGTTAAAAGAGACTTTAATTATTAATTTGCATGATTCAATTATTGATATTGTATTATTATTACATTGTATTACGTTTTTATAACTGTTTTGAAAAACTCGATTTTACTATTTTTTTTGTTTTCACGTCAATTAAACAGCATATTTAATTTAAAAAGCAATGTTCAAACGATACTATTTTTAATGAAAAATAAATCGCGTACTGTCGCCCCTAAATAACGTAAAAGGATAATGTTTACTTCCGTTCTTTACATGCGTGGATTAACTTTAAATACTATAGAAAAATCTTAAAAAATTCAAACTTTAACAAACTTCAAAATGCTGTATGAACATAACTACTGAATTAAATTAAGAGTTTTTGGTATCAAATTTTTTCTTTAAGACTTATCTATAAAATGGCTATATTCAGATCTTAAAAATATTTCAACACAAAAAAATAATTTTTAAAAATTGTTTGTAATTACTAAAACTAACAAAATATATTTCAAATATAGTCTTATATAGTAAAAAAAATTATTTAAAATAAAAAAAATATAAAATGTTATGTAGATCATAAGTTATATGAGTTGTAATTTAGATCTGTTTTCCTCTATATAAGCAGTGTGATTTTTTAAGAAGTTACCCCTAATTTTACCATAAAAATGAACAGATTTAAAATTAATTTATTATTTATAAACCATAGTAAATATCGAGTTTATTGCAAAAAAAGAATATATCTAAGGAGATATTTTAAGATTAAATTTTGACAGTTAAATGGGAACTAATAGTTATTTGTTTACTATTAAATGAAAAATGGTCTAATAAAATGTTGTCTAGTCAATTACAATAATAATTTACAATTAACTTGATTTTTACTATTGTTCATAAAAATAAATTAAATTTTAATTTGTACAATTTTACGAAAAAATAATTATTTAACGAAAAATGTGGGTAGTGTTCTTTATAAAGAATACTTTATAAACCACACTATTTAAATATTTATATAAATAACATTAAAAAGAAATTTTATATTTAATGGTAAAAATTCTTTAGACTAAAGTAATATGTGCTGATTTTTTTAGGAAAAAATGAATTTACAAATGCACTTTATTCGTTTTATGTTTCACTACTTAATTTTAAAACGTTAAATTTCATACTCATACCATTGTATAATAAAGTTTATTATTAACTTAATAAAATAATATACATATCTAGCGGATTGTATAGTACAGAGATGTTTAATTTTGTTTATTATTAGTTAATTTATAGATGTGTTTACTCATTAAATTAAACAATTATTAAAAATTGATTAAACAAATTTAGTGTGTTTTCATGTTACGCGAAAAAATAATTAAATTTGGTTGACGACTTCATTAAGAAATGTTAACGATTCGCTTTTGAATAAAATACATCAATTCAAAATAAAAATAAAAATTGTAAAAATATTTGCATGCGATATCTTAAAGTTCAAAGGATTGGTAGTCAGTACATTTCCGTTCGACTGAATCTTATTAGGTTAGATTTTTCGGTTGAACAATAAGCCGTACTCTGACACGTGTGACGCAACCAGGTTGGGATGATTTAATAGTCAAACTTTGGCTTGACACTATTTTTGTTCGACACCGTTATAAATAACATTAATGATTATTTTAATAGTGAAATTGTCCGTTGGCCGATGACGGAGTGCAGTGGTGGCACAGCGGCTTGAGTACTCTAAAAATGTAATTCTATACATTTTCAGTAGTCGACCAGTCGGTGCTCAGCTAGCAGCAGAATCTTTAGGTCCGGCCGTACAGTCCTCGTGTCTATTTATGTTTTCTCAGAGATCCACACAGACCGACGCCATGTAAAACCGCCGTCTACGCGAGTACGCGTTTGCCAAGCATTTCGTACAATAAATTGTGTCCGATGATAAACGGTGCGATAGTAAGGAAATATTTTTCGTAGAGTTTAAATAAAATACTACACAATCGGAACGACCGCACCCAACAGCCGACCCGACTAAAATGGGCCAACATGAATGACCTGGCCGATACCATTGACGATCTCATCTGTAGTTTTGAAAGCGATGGTAAAACAATGGACACGCTAATCATGTATCTTTTTTGCTGGGCCATTGTCGGCATGGTTGCTTTGGCTGTAGGGAAGTTCGTGTACAGCAAAATTGTGGGATGCAAAGGGGGTCGTAAGCCCCCAGTATCTACCAAAGCGGCCGAAGCGGAAGCAGCCGTCCTCGGTGGAGATCGAAAACGTGTTGTTCCGCCAACGCCTCCGACCACCCGAAAGCGGTTGGGTTCCAAATCGGGTCGGACGTCCGCTGCCGTGGCTAGTGTCACGGCCGGCTTATCGGCCGTACCCGCCGCGGCTACAGCTAATAAAGTGTACCCATCTTCGTCGGCGAATGATCTCCGCGTATCACCATCCCGAAACTTACCATCGAACCGTACCGCGCCAATGCCACCGGCGGCCACAGGCCACGACGCCGACGCTGTTCGTTGGGTTAATGACTTATTCCGGTGGCTTTACAGTGACCCGTCTGCCATAGAGTACCTGCTCGGTCAGTGGATCATTTCTCTTAACGAATACACTAAGAAATCTTTTGCTGAAGTGAGTCAATTTTGAGTTTTACTTAATAAAAAAATTGACAAAAAAGACATTTTTCTTTTTCGAATATAACCTCCTAATTATTAAGAAGTTAAAATATTTAGTTTTTCCAATTATATCCGGTGTATATTTTTGTCATTATTATTTTATTTATAGTAATAATTATCTTATTACTATTTTCATAAACTATAGTGATATAAAAAAAATAATGATCAGAATCTCAACACATTTTTTTAATAGTGTGCTATTAAAAAAACGTTGTTAAATGCAAAGTATTTTAGTTCTATACACCTAATTAATTAATTAACTAAATACATAAGCCCTTATACATAAACTCACAATTTTCAAGCACCAATAATCCATTTTGTCGCGTTATTTGGAGATAAATTCATTGAAATTAACAAAGTTTGAGTTAAAAGCGAAAATAAAATTCTTTGAAATAAAAATAATATCAAATCCCTAAAAAAATTAAAAGATTAATATGTCATTGTCTTCTATGTCGGATTTAGCGTGCTGTATAATTTTTAAAACCTAAAAGGATGACTAATTGAAGGACTCTAGCAAATCAATTATTTGAAACAGCTTGTGAGATGATTTGAAATATAAAATCAATGTGAATCATTACTACGTATACAAAGTAATGATGCAAATTTTCTTTTTCGAAAAAATTTGTTAAAAAAAAAATACTCTAATTAAAAATCTATAAATTACATAGATCATTTTTATGGAATAATAATGAAATGAAATTAGTTAAACAAATTTATGAATAACTAATAGCTTATATTAGTATTTCCTCGTATTTCCCTACGCAGTCCTAATTTTAACAGGTTAATGTAATGAACTAATATAGGAATATGTAGACCTTTTTAATAACTTTCTTTGAAAAGTATGAGAAGAAACAGGAGAAATCGATTATAATGCACCTATAATTTTTTACACTATTGGATTTTTAATTTACAAATTTTATGGCGAAATTTAAACAATTATATTTATTTGAAAGAATTTTTATTAGTGTCAAATGAAAATTAATTGTTTTACCTTATGAAAAACCATCTTATACTGTTCGATTTTAATAGGACTCATCCCCAAGATGTTAATTTGAATAATACAGTCTGTAGTATAATGTAGTACTTAAACATAATAAAACTACTACCTATCTAATAAAAACGTGTCTAACATTTTTAGTATTGTTTAAGAAAATTTCCGTCTTAAACGACTTACCAATACTATACATTTTATAACGTCCATTATTATCGAAAAACTCTAGTGGTGAAATGTTTTTTTAAACTTCCCTTTATGGTAATATTCAAATGAAGAAAATTATTTCACTTCGAAATTAAACAATCATATGTAATTAAAAAAATTCCCAAATAAAGATATCTAATTAATTTATGTTAGAAATACCACTGAATTATTTAAAATACATTTGAAACTATTATTTACTTGGTATTGACTTCTGTACTGTTTAAATAATTACTCAAAAACACGTTGCAAATTTAACCATAAGTTATGATAGAATGAAATTTTAAATAAAATATCATTGTTTATTACATTTTAAAATTCAAAGTATGTGACTATTTATTTGTCAATGTAACATCGACTATAAGTCGATATCATAATGAACAAACTGCATAATTATTTAAACTTAATAGCGGTTACATTTAAGTTATTGGTTATAAATGTTTAAAAGTTTAAGTGAATTAAATGTGATTCTATTGAATTAAAATTACTTATTTTCTGTTTTAACTAAATTTGTAGATACTTTACTTTACACTTTTTTAAATTACATACCTTTTGTATGTATTTTTCAAACAGAGCATCAGATTTAATTTATTTTTAATATTTGAAATGATATAAATTAAATCAGATTTATTTTGTGCTTGAATAAATATAGGTATTAGTTGAAATATTTGGCACTGTACTTTTTGGCATTGAACTCTATACTTATTATAAAAAAATTCCCATTTATTTTTCTTATTTGAGTCTAATTGTTTCATAAAATAAATGGACTGTTCAATTTACTTTTCTAAACAAAGCAACTAAGTCATATTTGTGCCTTTGCCAATTATCAAGTCATTTACATAAAAGTAATATATATTACTATAATATATACATGTATTTTTATAAGTTTTACCATTATTTACTTCTAACGTTTATAGATTAAGCAATACTTCAAAAGTAAGTCAATATACGAGTGCCTTGATTATATCAGTTTTACCAACTATATATAATATTTTAGTTTAATTTTGAATAGAATTTTATTTTTAAGTTTCAAATAGAATATATTTTTATTACCGGCTATCTTAAAATAAATGTTTTAGGATTATATTTCTAACTAAATACTATAAAATAAAAAAAATGCAAATTTTCAATAATAGGATTCTTTTTATTTTTTATAATTCTAAGTAACTCTTTATGCTTTAAATGTGATGTAATAAACCTACTTTATAACTTATAGATGTAATAATATTTAAACATTTTGAAGTTTTCTACGTTATTATGAAAATGCTCAATAAATATTAGAGATAAAAAGTGTTTACCTTGGACTATTTGGCATGAATTTTACATAAGTTTGTTGGTATCACTTAAGAAAAATAAACATATTATAATTTTTTTTTTTGTGTAATTATTAAAACTCATGTCATATAATTTATGAAAATCCTTTTTTTAAACATTATTTATATTTCTATATAAGAAATTACTGACATAAAATTACAGTAAAATTAGAAAAATAGTGTTTTTATTATTTTTTTAAATTTATCTAAATTTTAGATAAAAGTAATTGTTTTAAATAATTTCCGAGAATATACAAAATAAATATAAAATTTTTACTATATCGTAATAAAATTTAACGGAGTTCATATAATTGGGGACAAGTAATAATCAGTTACTTTTCAAAAGTAAAAAAGGCAATATGTCATACATATTATATATGACCTATTTTCAGTGATAGGAAAGAACGTCGTTCACGTGCTCCCGTTCATATTTGGTAAACGTTATTCGTTTTTTTTCATATAGAAAGTAAACGTAAACGAAATTCACATTTATGACGGATTTGAACAAGAGAAGTGTCGTTCATATAATTAAAAATAATATTATAGTTTCTGTGAGCTTATGACGAATTAGCATAATAAAATTGTATAAAAAAAAAACAAATAATAAAATACACCCGTTAAATCATAAAGTACTGTATGAGCAACGCTTTACTTTATCTTGCACAATCGAATATTGATTTAATCACTGAAACTATTAAAAGTACAAGGGTGAATAGAACAACCAGGAATTTTTTTATTTACTTGTCTTCCTATAACAAATTTCTATTACGCCACTGAAAGTGTGATTTATATATATTTGTAGAGTATTAAATTTGTCTAAAAAGAATGGTTTATGACAATTGATAATTATATAAACTACAGATTTATTTTTTTCATAAATAATAAAAAAAATTAATAAAAGTCAAAATAAACGCATTCGCCTTTATAATGACATGAGCATGAACGTGTTCATTTAACAAAAAAATAAAATTGTGTGTAAATGAGTACCTGTTTTACGATTGTGAACCGTAAATGAGTTCAAGTTTTTAGTGAACGTTCTGGACACGTGTGTTCTTATTAAGGACGTACGAGAAGAGTATAGAAGAACAATAACAGACGTCCATTTCTTTTATTTTTATTTTATAGTTTGATTCAACAAACCATTAGCAGCAGTATCAAGTAATGATATCCATTTAATTAAAAAAATTCATTTTTCTAATATTTCAATATTTTATTTTTGTTTTATTGATAAAATAATAGAAATTTACAACTTTATGTTTGTTGTCCTAAAAAAATTATAGAAATGAAGAATTACCGTTTTTCACATGTACCCTTCATGTTTCATACCAAACTTCAATTGATAATAATTTTATAATTATTACATGATATTGTTACTAATGTTTCAGCGTAAAATTGTATACAAAATTAATTAAATTAACAATAGAAACCCGTTTCTTTACATACTGAACACTTAAGTATATATATATATTAGAAAATGTCCAAAACTGACTAATTCCCTTTACAAGAACTCAGTATTAAAATACTACAAAATTCATCATCAAATATTGGTTAACATTAATCTTAATGTTCAGATATTCATTTATTTATATTGCATAAGAATATAACTTAAAATTACCAAGTACATATGGCTCTTTCATAACAAAAATTTTTATTACTCTTCTTTCGTAGGATATATCACAAGATAACAATTGATTATTGTTGTTTGCTCAACTTATTTCGGATAATTTGATGAAGAAATGTGTTCTTACTCGAATTATTGTTGAACAATATTTAAACTGGAAAAATATATTTGGTTAATTCTTTTTTTAGTTAACACTGAAATTGCAAAAATTAACCGTTTGTGAAATCAGTTTCAATCAAATTAATTATTTATTATTTAATTATGGTTTTTTTAAAATATATCTGAAAACAAAATAAATAGAAAATTATTATGTACTATTAGATTTTAAGTTTTTTTATTCAAGAAAATATTTTTGCACATTTAGTAAGCTTAACAATTTTTAGTTCGCTTATAAAATTTATTTTATATAAATTTTTTATATTTTTAATGATTTTTATTAAGCAATATTTTCCGAGTAACAATAACTTAATTAAAAACAATTTACTCAATATTTAATATGTATAAGTAATTTTTCTATTTTGATTTACTTGTTATTAAATAAATAGTGACCTCAAATAAGGACGAATAAGTAAGTGTAGAGTTATTGGTTTATTTTTATGTTGTTTATTAAACTTATCAATTAAACTATATATTAAGTATATAAATATCATAAAAATATATATAAAAAATCAATTAAAAAATGTACCATTTGTTTATTAAACTCTATTGGATTGCAAAGCGTAATGAAAATAATTATAATGCATATACTGCATGAAACATTTTTTCAATTTCTTTCGTTATTGATGAAATTATTCAAAATTATAAATACATTTTTGCTTGTTTTAATG